AGTGAAAGACCACGTGCATTTACTGCACAGAGGTCAGCCAGATTGGTGAGAAGAGCAAAAAATCAGGTTGGAATGTCAACAAGGAGACTGATGGCTCGTCAATACAAATCTTCTAAGAATACGATATCGTTGGCATGGTCTTAAATATCGAAAGAGACTTAAGTGCCCCAAATACTCTCAAGCGCGACTCCTTCGTATACAAGATGCTGTCGTCAACTGGGGCAGGTACACTTTGCCAATGGAAAAATTATTATTTTAGATGACGAAAAGTATTTCACTTTGAGTAATTCTGAAACGACTGATTTTATACGGACAATGTAGAGGAATTCCCTGACAATGTTAGATACAATCATCAAGCGAAATTTGCAGATAGATTCCTTGTCTGGTGAGCAATTTCCTTTTGTGGGAACAGTGAGGGGTGAAGCTTTGAATAGTCAGAGCTATATTGATAACTGCCTTTCCAAATTGCTTCAGTTTGTCCACGAACATCATGCTAGTGACCATATCATGTTTTGGCCAGACCTAGCATCTTGCGATTACTCAAGAGATACCCAAAACTGGCTTCAATAACACAACATACCTTTTGTTCCCAAAAACGATAATCCTACAAACTTGCCGCAGGCTCGCCCAATAGAGGATTTTTGGGCTTTACTGTCTAGGAAGGTTTACCATGGAGGCTGGGAAGCTCAAGATGAAGAACAATTAAGATAACGAATTTACGTAAAACCAAGAGAAATTGTTCTGAATTCCGTCCAGGACCTCATGAGAGACATTCGAAGAAAGTTGCGTCTGGCAAAGCAGAATGGGCCACTCCACATAATTCGATAGTATAGTTTAGTTAAGTATTGAGTTGTAATTTATGATAACTAGTTAGTGTAAATAAATTTATTCATTAAAAAAATCTGATAAATATAATAAGTAACATATAAATCCGAACACCCAGTTTAAATTGTTTTATTTTAATAAAATTTTGTACAAGTACTTAATGAAGCATAATAAGTAAATGATAAAAATTTCAAAATGATTGCACTGCTTTAAAGCCCTTTGACCTTTAATAATGTGTGGATGCACCCTGATGTGCTACGCATTCTCCAACGCGCCTAGGCATGCTTCTGATCAGGTGGTCAATGTCCTCCTGTGGTATCTCATTCCAGGCAACCACCAACTCCTCTCGAACTGCTTCTAGAGTCTGAGAAGGACGTTGCAAATTGAGCAATCTCCTACCCATCATATCCCACACGTGCTCAATTGGGGATAAGTCGGGAGATCTTGGTGGCCATGGTAACAATGTGACATCATTATGTTGAAAGAAGTCTATCGTGACTCTTGCAACATGTGGTCGGGCATTATCTTGTTGGAAAGTTGGATCTGCCAGGGTGTCAAGATAGGGTAAAAGATGGGGTTCTAGAACTTCGTGGATATAACGCTGCGCGTTCATGTTACCTCTGATGAAGATTAAAGGTGACCTGGAACCATAAGCTATAGCACCCCAAACCATAACTCCAACAGTGTGATGAACATGTCTTTCAACAAAAAACTGTGGATTCCTCCTTTCACCACGTCGCCTTCTAACCCTGGCACGACCATCGTGCAGGCCTAAACAAAATCGAGACTCGTCACTAGAGACAATACTGTTCCATTCCTGATCCCAGAGTGACCGTTGTCTGCACCACTCAAGGCGATTACGTCGGTGTTCTCGAGTTAAAGGGAGGACCCAGTGTGGCCGGTATGAAAACAAGCCAAAACTTCTCATTCGTCGGTAAACACTTCGCATGCCAATAGGTCTTCCGTGTTCTGCAAACCATTCATTTGCAATGGACCTGGTAGTGGAGAAACGGTCCCTTAAGGCCAATAATCTTAGGCGGCGATCTTCACGGTCTGTTGTTCTACGAAGGCGTCCAGTGCCCCTTGCTCTTTGCGTACGGCCTTCTCGAAGCCATGCCTGACAATACCTAACCCCAGTGTCCACACTTCTTTGCACTCTAACTGCAATTGCCCGAAAAGAACGTCCAGCTTCCCGAAGTCCCACTATACGGCCCCTATCAAACTCACTAAGTTGACGAAATCGTACAGGTCTCCGTACTCTAGGCATCGTAACCGATCGTAAAGGATGTCAAGAACCAAAATCCGCCAACGTTGATTCTTTACGCGGCTGAAATATTCAATTTTAGAGCGTTAGTGAATTAAAAAAAAGCAGTATAAAAACCGGAATGTCCAACTGATAAGGCTGAAAATGTTTTCACTTGTTATTTACAGTAAGATAAATACATTCACCAACTTTTATTAAAATAAAACCTATTAAACTGGGTGTTCGGATTTATATGTCACTTAGTATATTTTGTGTCAAAACTTTTAGGACACACGTTATTATTGAATATATTCATTCTGAACCAAGATAGCATTTTCACTTAATTTTGACCTTCGTCATTTGGATTTGCCAATCATTTTCTGGAGAACCTGATTTACCCATCTTATGTATTGGTTGAACTTTGGTGTATTTACAAAAATCTGAGAAATAGCCTCCAGATAAGCAAGCATTGTTGTAACTGTAAACTGAGCACATTCAATCGCTAATACTGTGCTCATGTCATAAATATCAAGTCTTTTTATTCTCAAGCTTCCCAATATAGGACATAACATAATTTTCTGTAACAGCTTGCACATGACGCACAAAATAGTGATTGAATGCCTCAACATCAATGTCCAACACCTCGTTAAATCGTATCTGCTTTATTGTCAGACATTGGTAGAATGCTCTTGTGGTAATCTTTTTCTATATTCAGTGACATTAGAAGTTTTAAACCTAGAAAAAAATTCTTCAACTTGTTTTTTTGTCAACATACTGACTATATTTAAATCATGATGTGGCATCAATGTCAACGTTTTATCTTTGTTTTTGTTTACCTTTGTTAAAATGTTATCTCTTAGTTTTTCCGAAGAAAGCAGTTTCGGAGAGCTGACTAGTACAGATATTTTTCCTCTGACTACGGACCACTGTCGTCAACGCTTGAACTGGAGTGAAAGGCACCATTGGGAGGCAGAATGGCTTAATGTCATCTTCAGCGACGAATCGCGGTTCTATCTAGGTTGGCACGATGGTCGTAGAAGCGAAGACTCCACCGTGGAGAACAACGTGATATTGGATTTGCTGTTGAGAGGCATGTACAGAGGACTGTTGTAGTAATGGCCTATGGTTGCGCGTTATGTTGATGATATCCTACAAACCACTTTACTTCCGTATCTAGACGGCCGTCCACACAACTTTTTGAACAAGACAACGCACGTCCCCATATTGCTCGTGGTATTACGGACTTTCTTCAAGAAGCAGGCGTTAATGTTTTGCCGTGGCCACCCCGTTCACCGGATTTAAATACCATCGAACATGTGAGCATGATAGGGAGGAGACTATCCACTTTGTACCATCCGGCACAAACTCTGCCACAGCTAATCCACGAAGTTCGAGTTGCTTGGAATGAGGTGCCACAACCAGATATCGATCATCTCATTTTGTCGATGCCTAGACGTATACAGGAGTGTATTCAGCTGCGGGGTCGCCCAACACCTTATTATTTTTTTTATTATTACTTGTCAATAAAATTGTGAGAATATTATCGTTTCATTTTTGATGTAAGACTACCTCACTGCCAAAAAATCAAGTTGAAGAAATTATTTTTTTCTAAGTGTACCACTTCTAATATCACTGAGTATACGTTAAGCAATTTACTCACACATCTTTTTTTGAAGTTATATACAATTTTATTTTGTGTACAAGGATTATTTCGGTATGACACAAGAGCAGATTTTTTTTCAATTATTCACGAGTGCGGCCCGATAAGTACTTATCCTCACTGATGACGCCACTATCGCAAGAGAAATTCACTAGAGTGTTATAAATTCTCGTAGATGGCTACTGTCAAAATTTCAACCGAATCGGACTAGAAGTTTTGTTTTGACTGCGTCTGGAAGCGGGCGTGTCCGGTAATCGCGCAGCAAAATCAACAGCGCTTGGATGCCATGTACGGTGACTCTTCTCCTTCAATGGCGAGCGTCAAAAATTATTTTAACGAGTTTCAATGTCATCGCACCTCGGTTTTTGATTAGCCACGCCCAAGTGCCCCGAAAATTGCTACCAAGGAGGATAAAGTGACAAAAATCCAAGATCTCGTATTGGCAGATCGCCAATTGAAGGTGTGCGAGGTAACTAAGGCAATAGGCATGTCAAAAAACCGCGTGGGTATGAAATGACGCTGTTTAAGCGCAATTCGAATCAGTTTCTGCGTACGACCGTCGACGTATCATGGATCCACTGGTAGACACCAGAGACCAAGGAATAGTCGAAACAGTAGACTTCACCCGGAGACGTGCTCCGAAGAAGGCGAAGACTGCCCTATCGGCCGGCAAGGTGGTGCTCACCGTTTTCTGGGATTCACAAGGTGTGATCTACATCGACTAGCAAACGGGCACTGGCAAAACGGTCACAAGGTCTCCACTATGCCGATTTATTAAGCCGATTCGACGGCAAATTGCAGAAAAGACGGCCCCATTTGGCGAAGAAATAAATGCTCTTCCATCAGGACAACGCACCGACTTACACCTCCGCCGTCGCCACGGTCAAATTGGTCGAATTAGGCTACGAATTACTGCCCCATCCACCGCATTGCCCAGATTTCCAAACTTGAAAAAGTCACTCGCCGGGCAGACGGATCAAAGGAGGTGGAGCATCGCTGGTTAAGTATATCGACCTACAAGGAGACTTTGTTGGAAAATAAATCGCTACTTTTCCGAAATCTTCGTTTTTGTTTTGTAGGCTAAGAACTTATCGGACCGCCCTCGTAATGTGTGCTGAATGAATACTGAAATGGTATTTGAAGGTATCAAAAATTATAAGCGGTTTGAAGTCTGAGAATCCCAAAAATAACAATTTTCAATGATTAAAGAGTCCTCGCGTTTCTAGCATACGGAATATTCTATTGTGGGGAGCAGTGTATAAAAAAACTTACCTCTTTTTGCATCTCCTTTTTCGCAAACATTTGTAACTCGTCCCCGAATATCTCTTGGGAATTGAGAACCTCTTGGTAATCCATTTCCTTAACAAAACTATGGTCTTCTATACCGTTAGCTTTGAGGAATTCCATGTAGGCGACTTGAAATGCCTGGCCGATACTTTGGGCTATGAACTGAGCCTCCTCACTTTCAAATACGTGGCAAATCATTTTAGGTGTCCTGTTGATCTTAGGCGCATCTTCCATTTCGTGGGGAACGAATCTTCGCCTTGCCATCAAGACTACTAGATCACCGATATCAGCGATGTAGGAAATCGTTCGTAAAGCATGGTCCATCATGATTTCTTTCAGATCTGTGTTAAGCACCATGATTTTTTCGGTTGAAATGAACAAATCTACCTCTGTGCTGGGTTGGGTTTCACCGTCAGGTGCCTGAATTGAGTTGACTTAGTAAGTTTTATTCTATGGCAGGGCCAGACTGGACATTCAAATAGTTGGGCGCTCATCCAAAAAAATCGAAACAAAGAATGCCTCGAGTAGGTTGAATCTGTTCCCATACAGTCGACAAATTATAAAGATTCAGTTCAGTCTATCATAGATACCTATTAAATATGTTTTCATAGAATACCTCAAAATATATTCAGTGACAAAAAAAATAGAATAACCAGATTTTATTTGAATGGAATTCAGTTCAGCTATCCATATGGAAAGATTCTTTGAGAGGTCACAGGATTAAAGTTTGCATATAAAGGCAGCATGCATGGCGTTATATGTGTTAAAATAAAATCATTTTCAAAAGGCATATGGGGTATATGAGTTTCTATACATACGAGTATAAAATAAATACGCGAATCCCAGTTGAAAAATAGTATTTTAATTCTGCAGAGATTTGACGCAAATACGCAGAGGTTTTTGAAAATGTCTGCCTCAAAATATCGTAGTCTAAAATTTGAGAGATTTCTTATCTGTGTTACTATTGAAGTCTAAACGGAGATTTTGAAAACGATTTCGAATATTATGGTATTATCGAGGTCTCCACAGAAAATACACAGCGCATTCACCATAATTTTGAATGCGGGGGTTCATATCGATGCTACTACTGAATATCCACCCAAAATACGCAGCACATTCACCATAATGTTGAATGCGGGTTTTAACGGGTATAACTTTGAGTGCTGGTTCCTTATATATGCTATCGATACCCCCACCCAAAATACGCAGGACATTCACCCTAATTCTGAATGCTGGTTCCGTATCTACGCTACTACTGAAACCTCCGCCCAAAATACGCAGCGCATTCACCATAATTTTGAATGCTGTTTCTTGTCGACGTTGTATCGTTTTCACAATAACTTTGAGTGCTGGTTCATTATCTATGCAAATATTGAAATATCCACTCAAAATATTCTCCATAATTTTGAATGTGGGTTTCTTGCTTATGCTACTATCGATACCCCCACCCAAAATACGCAGGACGTTTACCCCAATTCTGAATGTGGGTTTCATATCTTCGCTACTACTCGAACTTGAAAAAATAATTTTGGCCATATATGGCAAAAACTATGAAATACTGTTGAGGCGGCTTCAGACGAAAGTTGTACAGTCAGTAAATACTTAAAAAATGACACCTTCTATGTTCAATTTGCTACCATTAATTTTTACTCAACAAATTCGACAATATTTAAATTTATTTTTTACCAAAAAGTGCACGACAGAAAATATCGAATAATAGCTGCAACGTCAATCCAGAAAAAATCTTAGTAAATGCTCAAAATTTTCTGAAAATATATAATTGCCACTAATTTATTTTGTTGTCATATAAAAGGTCTTCGCAAAAAAGTGATTTTTCCAATTTCGGCGTTTAATAAAAAAATTCGATTTCTCGTATTTCCGAGTCCAACTACTCCGTATCTCCGTAGGCAGCCTCATATGCATTTTCCATAGAAGCTTGTCACATTATTTTTTGTGTTCTACATAAAATGTGAGACGCTGGCCTCGTTTACTGGGACACCTTAAAGACGAGATTCCAGCAAATATTGGGATATTTCAATTTACGCGAAACTAGTATGTGTATAAAAACCTTCAAATGCATAGGAATAGAGCGCCCGATATATTAACTGTACTCAGTCCGGCCCTATTTAGAAATATTTACAAATTTCTTACCAATGCCTATCGAATCCCAAAGAAGCAGCGGGAAAAAGTTATTGGGCATCAGTGGTTTAGTAATGGAAAGGATTGACTATTAAACATAATAAAGACCAATCAATGTAGTTATAGTCTGACAAAAATATTTACAGGCAGCCACTTACGCACGTGTCTGATATTCAGATGGATCCTTCCAAAGGAAGGTTGTTCTCACACTATAGCGTTTTGATTATCAGTTGTTGAGTTATAAGCAACTCAATGTTGAAAAATGCTCAACTCTAATAAACTACTTATATGGAGCTTCAATATGACAATATATCACGTGAGGCCCCATATGCTTTGAAAAAAAAAGATCCAAGATAGCGCACCGGCTGGTAGTTTGGAATTTTAAATACGAGTAGTCTTACTTAATATTCTTTCATGCATGCATCAGTTTTATCACCCCCAATTTCAGTTTGCTTACTTAACCCATTCAAAAAATAATAATGGGGGAAGGAGGACGTTCTTGAAAAGCTCTATCCTTCATACACAGTAAATATTTTCGTCATATTTTCATCACTATATTGACTGGCATATGAAAAAATCGTACAACCAATGATTCATTAACTGGTCTTTATTGAATATTTTGAAAGATCTTCCGACATAATCAACAAAAATATATTAATAAAAAACATGTTTTTGACATATAAAGACTACTCATCTGAATAATACAATGGTTTTTGTTTGTCACTTTTTTATTTTTTAATCAAAATAGAATTTAAGTCGACATGGTGACCAGTTAACTTTCACTAATTGTACGTATAAATATTAATCACTTTTTGGACATTATGGTTAATAACACGACACTTAAAAATAATAAGTTATCTTGAGTCTGCGTAATTCATTTTGCAACTGCACCCAAAAAATAGTACATTCATACAACACTAAGTCTTCTCAAACAAAGCGTGTGTGGATGTTTTCATTAATAACGTAATATATTTTATTTTGGATCTTCACAGATTTCAACAATTCAACCCTATACCTATATCAAGGATCATGACGTTTTGCGACTTTTTCTATAAATAGTTTGAAGATCTAGTTGCCTCCTGTCAAAATGAAAAATTCAAAATGATGAATGCAACAGAAAACGGGTTTGGATTGATCCAATCTAAGGGGATAAGTTTAAAACGTTCCTTCTTTCTTCTGCCACTAACATCCTCTTCCCTCTATTACTACCCTGGTCAAGAAGAATAACAAAATGACAACTGTATCTAACATTCTCCACTAATATTTCAAAATCTGAAGTTTAGACAATGAAATTACAATTTCAAGTGCCATTCATTGTTTCCCTAGGCGAATTTTTAATGTCATTCACCTAGGTACATTTCTAATATAATTATTTAGCACGAGAGGGAAAAGCTACTCATAATTAGAGAAATGGTGATTTTTAGAGTTGTTGGTAGTGAAAAAAGTCAGCATTATTACTTACTAGGATAATAAAATACAGACAACTTATTATTTTTTCAAACATGCAGTAATATCATTTATGTATATACAGTTAGTCACGAAATTGAAATAATATACATTTGCACTGCTCAGTAGCTTTTTTAGTTATAAACTGAAAAAATGCAATGATGGTGAAGATGACTAATCAAAGCAACGGATAAGAGATCAGCAAATCTGTAGAAGTAATAAAATTTTTATATGGTGTTTCCTAAGCGTTGGGCATAAATTCAAAGAGTGATTCCTCAAGCTTTTTTAAAATAAAATGAATTTAATTGAAACAAACAAGATTACATTTTCCATATAAAGGACATAACATACTATTTTTGAGTCATTATTAAAAGAAAATTCAGTCGGGACTAGTTCGTTCCTAGCAATCTAAATGAACTAATTATTTTCTGTGGACAGCATCATGTAAGGCTTCTAATATTCACTATGGTGTCGAAATTTGGTTGAATGGTTGAGTGTTGTTCTTGTATTCAACAAAAAACTATTTCCATTGACGTCTTTTAGGGGGACTATCTCCGAAACAACGCGGTATCTCAAAAGTTGTCAAAAGCGAAAATAGTCTTAGAATCGCCCAAAGAAACAGCCTTTGAATATTTACCCGATGTTTTGGGAACACCTGGTTTTACACATCACCGCGTAAGGAAATTTATAGTACACATTCAAAAAAAAACGGCAAAGACCGACCTTAATCTTAGTAACAGCGACTTCCACCATGTTTTTCTTCAACCTTTTGCGCCTTTTTCTACCCCCCTCCTCATCGATTTCAACTGATCCTAGGAACTGAAGCCTGAATACTGTGCCGTTGGTCCCAAATGGATTTTCATCACAAACAGCTTGCACTTGCGTCACGCCGTCTATATAAGCTAGTTTCAGATACTCTTTATGTTTGTTATTTGTTTCGCTGCCAAACTACGGCAATTTGACACTTTTTCCATGTACCAGACTTATTAAATGACTAACATTCGTTAGAGTAGATTGAAAACGAAATGGTACATAACATACCTAGTGTGAAAAGTAAGCATAGCGCAGAGGGATATAAAGCTCGAGATCAATGCCCTTCTCAATGGAGATATGTATAGACATTTTTTCATTACTAACCTTACTTGTAAATCACTAGATTCGATTTTATAAGATTCTAATAGACTACTCAAAAAAATTAAGGGAGCAAGAAGAATCCAAATTTTTCGGTAATCTTTGGCAGGCTGTATTTTGTTGAAAAACGGTCGTATTTTGACTTTAAAACCAGCATTGTGAAGCTTTACGATTATACGATAGTTGTCAGATCAGTTTTAAGCCGAAAAATCTTAGGAGCAACGGTTCTCAATTTGTCTTTCTTTCTGTCCACTGGCTTGATTTTTTTCTGCCAGACAATCATATGGATCAGCTAGCCCACTTATTCAGCTTCAATAACCTGTTTTTAACATCTCGATGCGACCATTTAGCGCAGAGATATCTGACTTTGAATGAGAAAGGATCCTTTTGTGATCGACCACTGATATCTCGGTAACCAGTGATCGCACAGATAATGTAAGGATATTTCCGAAAACTCAAATAAACCCCCTATAAGATTTAATTGCAATATTTGAGGTAATTATTTTTTGTTTCCCCTCTTTTGTCTTGTTTTGGGAAATCGACCACATTTTTGGAACTGTTAACGAGAAGGCTAATGTTTTTAGGTTTTTTATACCTCAATGTAACCCGTAATAATCCTATACGATGGCAAATCGAGCCATTGTACTGTTTCTCCGGCCTGACAAATTTCAAAATCCGACTTTGAGACCCAGCAAAAAATATTA